TGAACTGGTTATTTAACTTTTGAACCAGTTATTTAACTGACAGTTCAAAAGTTAAATAACTGTCATTGCCAACACTGTCGGTATCAGTTATGCGTGTAACACGGATTATATTACAATGTGGTCACGTGAAAATCACGGGGTGCATTTAGAGAGCCAGGAAAAAGACCCTGCAGTACAGCATCTCTAAGTCCCAAGCTTAGGACTTGTACACAGGGTGCACTTATAGAAGATTGACTGTAAATTGTCAATGATTGGCAACGAGTTTAAATTGTTGTTATTATTGATAACAAAATAAGAAAACTGTATTTATGGTGCAAGCTATCAATAGTTGTTAAAAAAAATCTTTTAATCTTAGCTCTAATTAGTTGTTATTCAACTGGTATACAATCACTGCTGGTTCAATTGGAACTGACCGGGCAGTATTCCGTACTGACCCGAATATTTCACTTAAACATTTAAAATTCCTACATGTAATCCCACTCCAACCAACATGTAGTTAAGTTAAAGCTAGCCTACATTATCATTAACTAGGCACAAAGTTGCACGAGTTTACTGACCCTACACTCCTACTTTTTATTAGAAATTTTCAAAATCCATTATTTAAATAACTGACCGTTATGATTTTATAAAAAAAAACCCAAAATTTTGCAGAAATAGTGGCGAGCACTATACAAACGAATTAACGTGATATTTTATTGATAAAAACTTTTTAACGAAATATATATAAGAAGATATTATTTCTAGTAGGCCTCAGGAAATCTACACCGGAGTCCTGATACTAGATGGGAAAATATCATGTGAAAGTATTTTTGACCAATGAAATGAAGAAAAATTGGTAAAAATTTTTAAAAATATTACAATAATTGATGACTTCTCCTGTTGTCCACTGTACAATTCACAAAAATAACGATGAAGAGGAGGAATTCAACAATAATATTAGCAACGAAACAAAAGTTTTAGTTCCCTCCTCCATCACTCAAGCAGTCCTGGTTCAGTCAACGCCGATGCCAGAGTCTTCAAAAACAGTTATTGGACCAGATTTCAATAAAAATTTATCTTTGGGTGAATTAATTGGCTCATATTACTCTAGGATTGGTTTTCAAGCCACTAGTCTAGGTAGAGCTATTGAAATTATTAATAAAATGGTAATACGTATTACCAATTTTTATAATTTTTATCTTTATTTTTAAATTTTACAACAACAAATTATTCTAAAACTTTTCTTTATTTATTAAATAAGCGTAAATGGAGATTATCAGATGATCCAATTGAAGAAGACGAGACGGATCATTACCTGAATCCGAAAATACGTGAGAATACCAAATGTAAAATATTTTTTGGCTACACATCCAATATGGTATCGTCAGGATTGCGAGAAGTGTTTAGATTTCTTGTGGAGCATCGATATGTTGATGTTGTGGCGACTACGGCTGGTGGTGTGGAGGAAGATTTTATAAAATGTTTAGCACCCACATATATAGGCGATTTTCATTTGCCAGGTAAAGAGCTAAGAAAAAATGGATTAAATCGTATTGGAAATTTAGTAGTGCCTAACGATAATTATTGTAAATTTGAGGATTGGGTGACGCCTATTCTGGATAAGTTATTGGAAGAGCAAAAGAGCAAAGTAAAGAAGTTTTAATCCCTGTTTTTTTTATGGGGTGCTTTTCTTTATTTAATTATTATATATAGTTAAATTATGAATTTTATTGATTTTATTGATAGGGAATAATATGGACACCGTCAAAGATTATCCATAGATTAGGCAAAGAGATTAATAATCCAGACTCTATATATTATTGGGCATATAAGGTACACTAATAAGTAATGATAATGATAATAATGATAATAATAAAAACGGAACAATTCTTAATTTGTCAATTCAATAATCAATCAATTACAACCAATTAAATGGTCAATCAATTTATGAATCACGACAACTGTATTTTAATATAGAATGATATTCCAGTATATTGTCCAGCATTGACGGATGGATCATTAGGAGATATGATTTATTTTCATTCATTTAAAAATCCCGGATTGATTATCGATATTGCTTCAGATATTCGATCATTAAATGATCAAGCTGTTTTTGCAAAAAAAACTGGCATGATAATTTTAGGTGGTGGTGTTATTAAACATCATATATGTAATGCAAACTTAATGGTAATTAATAGAAGAAATATTTTTTATAAATGGTGCTTTATTAATTGATTAATTGTGTATGATATTTATTTATATATAATTGGATATGTTTAGAGAAATGGAGCAGATTATTCTGTCTATATTAACACGGGACAAGAATTCGATGGTAGCGATGCAGGTGCTAGACCTGACGAAGCAGTCAGTTGGGGGAAGATTAGTGTTGATGCAGAACATGTAAAGGTAATTAATTAATCGAATAAAATCTTTAACAATTATTTCCATATTTTTTATTATATATATATATATTATATATATTTTTATAGGTTTATGCAGATGCAACAATTGTATTTCCTTTGATAGTGGCAGAAACATTTGCAAAAGGCTTTGATAAAAACGAAAGCAATATTATTAATTAATAATTTAATATTTTTCTTTATGACGATGTTTTTTTCAAATTGATAATTACAAATATACATAATAAAAAAAATTTTATTTTGCTATAATGATGACATTATGTCACCTAATGCTAGTATGGAGTGAACCTGGTATTCTTACGCTTGGGTTTTCTACCCACTTTCTTCTTAACCTTAACATTATTATTATTTTTATTATCACCGCCATCACTAGCGGCTTCATTATCATTAATATTATTAACCCTATTTCTACCACCAATATTATCATCTGTTGGTGCTATGTTACTATTATGATGGTTACCATTAATATTACTAGTACTACTAGTGCCACCACCTCCACTATTATTGTTATTATTATCAGAATGATTTAAATTTCGTGGGTCTATTGTTCTATGTAAAATATATGGTGTCCACCTTAGATTTTCCGGCTTTATTCTAGGGTAATTTTTAGCCTCAAGTTTCCTTAAATATTCATCAATACAATCCTGATCAATTATTACATTGTAAGTGCTATCACATTCATTTTTCTTTATCATGTTATTTATGTGTAACGTTGCAACAATATCATTTGGTGTCATACTTGTTTCATTACATAGTTCTTTTTTTATGGAAAGAAAAAATTATTATTGTTATTGTTACTGTAATCTGATTAATAGCTATCAATCCAATTTTAAAATCAGTTAATTTCTTACTCACGTTCAATTGTAAGAGTAGTCAAATCTTCATCATTGATGTGCTTTTTGAAATCTTCAAATAATATATTACGCCAATAATTTCGATAGCTTAACAGTCCAAGTTCTGATAATGGTTTTTCTGGAGAACCAAGCTTATTTTCACCTTTTGAAAGAAGATAACCTATTTTATCCACAATGTAATAAAATTATTATTGTTATCAAATCATTAAAAAATTCTTTTAATATATTAAAGAAATCAATATATAAATATATTACTGAATTCGATCAACAAATTTCCGTAGCCTTTTCTTTGATAAACTGGGAGAGTTAAAATACATGATACATTATAATTCAATGGCGAGCGTTTTTCCTAAGGAATAAAGATAAACTTATATAAATACATACCTATAACCATATATATTCTTATATACATAAATATTACAAACCTTTGAGAAGTAACCTATCAAACGACATCCATTATCACAAGTCTCAGTCATAACATAAAATAAAAATGGTTCTACATCATAATATAATGTTTTGTGATCTAGAAATGATTTTGCCAACAAACATAAATTCTGACAATATATCTACCAAGTAAATAAATAAATAAAGTAATAATCTTTAGAAAATTTCTTTGATTAATATTTATATAAATATAAATATAAATATATATTTTTATTCTTTTGATTGTTACCTTATTTTTTCTCCCATCTACTTCAAAAATTGATATTTTCCCATCCCGATATATTTCATTGCCAGGTGGATGCCTCATTGGACATTTAACCTAATAATAATTATCAATAAATGTTAATAAGTCGGCGGAGAGAAGAGAACATGTGGGTGAGTTTGATCAACAACAAAAAACCTTATGTCGCTTCATTATGTATTCACTCTTCATATATTTTAAACAAAATTCACAAATATGTAACACTGGATTGTATGTATATTCTTCTGGGTATGGTGCTACATACCAAGTGTCCATTTCCCATTCTCCAAATCTAATCGTCTTAATCCTTGGTGCAGTGACTGCAAATTCTTCATTGGGATTATCATTACCAACACCATTTGTCTCATTATTGTTGTTGTTATTGTTGTTGTTATTACTGTTATTATTACTGCCACTACTGCTTCCATCACTAACATTATAATTATTATCATTAATACTGTCTATACTACTACCAATTCCTACACTCCTAACACTACCATTTTGTCTATTTCTTCTTCTAACCGAACTTCTGACAACCATGATTGAGCTCATGGTATATATAGATTTGTAAAAGTTAAGTTTATTTAAAAAATTTGGGTAAATAAGAAATCTAAATTTGATGAAAATGAGGGTTTTATTTTGATAAAATCGTAAAAAAAAAAAATATGTTGTTTGAATCTTTCCTCTTTTTATTATTTATTAGGAAAATTTGAGTAACGTTTGTTTTTTTAAATTTGAAGCAAATTCTTTCTTCACATGCACTAGTCTGTAGTTTGATTTCTGACTAAAATTAGTATGATCATCTTTAATCCTGTCTTAAATCTGGTGTATGCGAAGACACCTTATTCGATTAGTCAATTCAAAATTTTTTTTTGATAATCTCTCTTTTTTCTATAAAATAATAAACATGTCTTTAACAAAAATTTCCAGAAATTTAATAACAACATTTCTATTAAATCCTAATATCAATCCCAATGCAATAGCTCCACGTTCATTGTTGCCAAAAGTATTAAATTATTCAACTTTATCAAAATATAATTGCCTCAAAATCCATTCAAATAATAATCAGCAGCAGCAACACTATAGAAACATTATTTCAACGTGTGCTCGTCAACTTTTTACTAGTATTGTTAGAAGCGACGAAAATGATAGTAGTGGTGGTGGTGGTGGTAGTTTGGAAAATAACTTTGATCCTACAGAAGGAAAGTATCAAGAATTAAAACAAAAAATTAGCGAGCTTGACAATAAAGGATTAAATAGTATTATTAATTTGGCAGCAAATGAAGAATATAATGAACTTAAAAACAACGAGAATTGGAATAGATTAATAATGGAGTTTGTTGAAGAAAAAGAAATAAAAATAGCACTTGAACTATTTGATAAGGTAAAAAAAATAAATTTTTTCATTATTATTATTATTGAGAAAAAGTAACACACAATCGTATATATCTTAATTTACATTTTTCAAAATAGATGAAATCACTATCATTGATCCCAAACCAAGAAGCATTCACAGCAATACTGAGAGGTTTAAGTGAAGAATTTGTTTTTCAAGAAGCCGCAGAACATACAAGAACAATGGTTGAACTTATGGATGCAAATAGCCCTGAATTCAAACTTGAGACTGAACATATAAACTATTTATTAAAAACTTGTCAAAAACTAGGTAATTTAAATACTGCGTGCGATTCTTATGACAAATACATAAAAAGTGGAAATGTAAAACCAGACAAGTCAACATATTTATATTTATTGATAACGAGCTTTAAATCTGCTAGGAGTGATCCAGCACTGGCTCATAAATTGGCAAATGATATTTGGGATAGTTTGGACAAAAGAATAGATGTGCAAGGTGAAGAAAATAATGATCTTGTGCCTATTGATAACGATTTAATTCGTTATATACTTGCGACATACAAAAGTACGAGTCATGTTAAAGATGCACTTAATATTGCTGAATGCATATATGGAATTGGCAAACCTCAATCAACACCATCTTTAAATTTACCGATTGAAAGCGGTCCTTTAAACACTATTCTTGATATGTGCATAAATGGAAAACAATTTCTTTTGGGATTAAAATACTACGACCAAGCCATCAAAAAATATCCAGATATGGAACATGACATTAATCTTTACAATAGTTTGATGACTCTTTATAATTCGACATTTCAATTTGATAAAACTGTAGAAGTGTTTAATGATAAAATAAAAGATACAGGTTTAAAACCAAATAAATTAACATTTGAAGCAATGATGCTTGCATGTCATAATCTCCGTGATCTAGATAGTCTGAAATATTTCTTTGATAATTACTTGGAAAGAGGAATTGATCTGGGAGAACTGGATCTGATGGGATTAATTAAATTGTCTCTTAAGAGAGCCAGAATTGATGGAGGTCCTAATGATGCTGTTTGGTTGCTGGATAAATTAGATGAAATGGATCCTGCCAAAGAAGAAAATAAAAAACTTCCTCAGATTAAAAACATCGATCATCTGTCATACTTAAGTACCATTTCTATGGCTTATGAGATTGCGTTAGAGGTGGAAGATTTGCCAGAAGATAAAAAGGCTCGATGGCAAAAAGACAGGGAGTTTTTTGAAGAAAAATTTGCAAAAAATTCTGATGAAATTGAAAAATTAACTCAAGAACAAATAAATCATAGTAAATCTCCTAAAAGACCTCGCAAAAGGACTAAAAAAATAAATCAACCGTCTGTGTCGCCAGCACCTCCAGCATCGCCATCATCGTCATCGCCATCGCCATCACCATCGTCATCGTTATCACAAAGACAACCTAATATGGGATATAACAAGCAGTCTGATTATATTCCATCAAATATGAATTATGATCCACGAGCACATAATAATGGAAGATATAGACCCTTTGCTTCAAATTCATTTCAACCTCCTCCACAACGATATTATAGACAGTCATATAACAATTATTATTACCCACCATCTTATAATGATAGAGAATATAATAGATCTTTTGCTTCGCCGTCACCTCCAATTACACCTTATTATCAACCACAACAACAATATTATGATAGAAATGGTAGATATTATGGACAATCTGACATCAACTATAACTTGTCTGCATATAGTGGTGGAAGATATAGACCATCATATCAACCACGTTACAACAATAATAAAAGACCTGGGAGTTATTAAAAACTATCTTGTGTCAATCATAACCCATAGCCAAATAAATAATCTCAATATAATATGATGATCATTGTCATCGAAATAATGTATGAGCGTTATCACGAACTAAATAAATTTTTTTTATGCAAGTTATTTACGTCCCACTGCTCGATATATCTAAACATGTGACTCAATTAATACGCGGAAAATGTTCCTTGAAAATTGAAAGTAATTTCTTAATTTGAAGAATATCTTTTCTACATTTGGAAAAATATTGTCAAAGTCGCAATTATTACGTTTGCAAATAAATTTTTTTTAAATTCTGACTCGGTATAAATAATATTAGTAGTAATTTGGTTTTTTATAAGTGATGTCATTGATCGATCATCAGGTACAGTAGTTAAAAAGGACGCAGACATCAAATTATTTCTTTATCTTTACAATTCAATTTGGAGTTTGTTAATTAAAAAGTTTTCTAAAATTTTATTTAATAACAAATTAACAAAGATTTAATTATCATTATTAGCAATAATAATAAATGAGAACAACAGAAATTAAAACCCTTTTTTTTAGCGACAAAAAAGACTTTAAATTTGATTTCGAAGATTTTGTTAAAAATGAATTGGGAGTTGGGGTCCAAAAACCTTGTAAGGCATTTTACTTTTATCTTTTTACTTGTATATATCAATTTTTAGAAAAAATAAAATTATTATTATTCTTTTTTTTTAAAAAAATACGCATAGTTCCCCAAAGAGAAATTTGTCAAGATTATGTACGTGGTGTATGTCATCGCGGAACGTCATGTCGTTATGAACATATTATAAAGAAATTTATAGTTTGCAAACATTGGTTACGTGGTTTATGTATGAAAGGTGATGAACAATGCGAATATTTACACGAATATAAATTATCAAGAATGCCAAAGTGTATTTATTTTAATTTGTTTGGAGTTTGTCAAAATGCAAATTGCATTTATTCTCATATTGAGAAAGATCATGAAATTTGCGGTGATTATGAATGTGGATTTTGCAAACACGGTAATAGCAAAGCTACTCACCAACTCATATTAATATACATGCATTTTTATTAAAAAATTTCATCTTTTTTTTTTGAACAACGATTTTTTTCTTTCCTCCAAAAAGGTCCCGATTGCCTTAAAAAACATGTAAAAAAAGTTTTATGCGAATCTTACTTTATGGGATTTTGTCTAAAAGGACCAAAATGTTCTGATGGACAGTAAGTAAATAATAATAACAAATTTATTGTTTTTCTTTAATATTTATTAATTTAAAAATTTCAAAAAATTTTAGTCCGAAAATTGATTTACGAAAATTAAAAAATTTAACAAAATCTTCAAATGAATCGGTAATCAAGGTACTTTTTTTATCCCTAACTAAACTTTTAAAAATCAAAGAATTGATAAACTCTTGATTATATAATTTAGATCGGGAAAAGACAACAAAATTGTTTATATCAGTATCAGCAACAACAAAATTCATATCAACGACGTAAATTTTTTCCATATATAAAAAATCACGATGCTACTTGTTTTAAAGTACGTATCGGTTAAAAAAAAAAAAAAGATTTCAAAAAAAATTTTTTTTTTTGATATATAATAAAATAGAATATTTTCTTTAAAAAAATTAAAAAACAGTGTGGACTAGTGGGACATGCTACACGACGTTGTCGTAAAAAATAATGTAACGGATAGAGAACATCAATCGATAATAATAATCATGATATTTTTTAGCTTATTATATTAAGTAACAATAATAATTAACTATAAAAAAGATTTTAAATAATTAAAGAAGGCTTTCTGCATTATATTTTTTTGTATTTATTGGTATTTAATACAAACTTGGAATCATTAATGATAAACCAAAACGGAAAGGGTCAATCATTTGCGAGAGGTACGCACCAATAACAGGAAACTCACCGAGTAATCTATGAAACCTTTTAACTTTTTTTTTACTAACAAAAACAAAAAAACCTCTCTGTTACAATTACTGCTTAAGACTTGGAGAATAAAACTATGAAGAGTGGTGAAGTTAAGTTGTTTATTAATTTGCATATTATTATTGTTAGTTACAATCAAAAACACCTCCATATTCATTACCAAAATAAAATTATTATATATCAAAGTTTTTATGTAACAATAATATGTTACATCTTCTTTTATGAGTCTTCTTTTATGAGTGATTACTTTATTAACATCAACATCTGTATCCATTAAAAAAATTACAAATTTAGTAGAATAATTTTAAAAAAATTAATAAATGCGTTCGTTCATCAAGTCGTGAATCTAGTAGTAGTGACGAAATAGATGATGTAAATCGCATTTTTTTCTTCTTCAGATAATGATTTATTTATTATTCATTCAGGTTTCTTAACTGATTCTTTATCATCTCTAAGCATTCATTTGTAAAAATCTATTATTGTTATTATTATTATTATTATTATTAATGTTAGGTATTTTTTTATTTCGATGTTTTTTTTTTAATTTATCGTGAATTTGTGTAAAAATTTTATTACTATTACTATTACATTTACAAAATTAGTTGTATAACAAAAAATATCATGTGAACACTTTACTTCATCCCTAAAATTTTTTCCCAAAGAGTGCTATATTGTCCACCACCACTACCACTTTCTAACCGTCTATAATCCGGTTCTTCTTTACCTTTACCGCTCCTATTAAACAACGAATAAATACATGAATAAAGAAATGCTATACTAATTTTTATTCCTTTTCCAATTATATTCTTACTACGCAAACATAACCACCAAATCATTAATAAAATTACAAGCAAAATTGTGACCCCAATAATCCATTCAACCATAAAATTATAATGGCCAAATAATCCACGAGCTCGTGAATAAGATGATGGTGGCGGCGGCGGCGGTGGCAAGACTTGTGACGATATTATTGACGTCGAAGCTTCTAAAACCATTTTACCAAGAGTCCAGCTCACTGCTATATTATTAATGCTATTTATACTTTGGAAAGGTGATTTATGTCTAACTTTTTCTAATAAATTATTATTTTCAGGCAATCCACCCGAATCAATCATTCTCGGAACACCAATTCCCTCGTGCAATATATTTACCAACCATGCTGATTTAAAACATTGCAGTTCCAATCTTGTCAAATCTATTGAAGGATTTGCCGTTTCACCTTTAAGATAATATGTTTCAACAATATTTTCCCAATTTCTAGCACAATAGTCAAGAGCTTTTTTTTCAAATTCTGGAAAATTCCACATCCCACCCAAACCATAAATATCGTGAGATGAATACCAATATTCAGAAATTCCAATGAACTTATTAACCGAAAAATCTATTTTCGGTGTGTGAACACCATTAAATAAACAGGGATTGTCTAAACAGGGAGCGTATTTATTTAATAATTCATAAGTGTCTTTTAAACAAAGATTGAAATCTCCTGTTCCTTGTAGAGTATAATATGGAGGGGGTAATGTCCTATCGGTAAGTAAAAGATCTACAGGCAAACAAGGATCTTTTAATAGAATGGTTGGTTGTTCTCTAGCAGTGTCAGGATTGACTATTTGTTCATGTGTAGAGGTATATTTTTTAATTCGACTCTCTATGTATCTACGACGTGCTTCATTAGTTCCAAAGCCTAAAAATGTTGTGACAAATACATTATAGTCCAATCTATTTCCGTCCAAAGTATACAGTGTGACTTTAGTCAAATCATTGGCATGTTTTTTCGCTTCAATTTTATTTGGCTCAAATGCAATCTGTGTGCTAGCCCCACCCATGTCTAAAAATCCAAATGTAGATGTTTGATCCGAATTTTTTTTTCCGTCGGCAATAAGTGATTTACCATCATCATTAACGAATCCATTCATCAAGTAATTTACAGCAATCCAACCGTATATTCCTTCCGTTTCGCCAGTTATGACTTGAACATGATCCGAACATTTATTAATTTTAAATCGATAATTAAATTGGATATAATCACAGGCATTTTGAAGTATGGCTTGTTGTTGAGATGGCAGCAATAGTCGCATTCCAGCAGTAGCCAGTAAATATATAGGCGTTTGATGGATTTCATTTGTAGGTATGACTTTGTCTGCGAATTGTAATAAAGGTTTTAAATGCAATGGTCCTACTTCAGTTGGTTCATTTGCAAATGAAGATATACCTGGATAATTAATGAATTATTGGATAAAGAAAAAAAATATGTAGATATATACATATATATTAACATTGAAAAATTAACGTATAGCTTAGCTCTCTTTTTAGTATCTTTAACATTCAATTTCCATATTTTCAAATGTGCAAAAGCCGCAAAAATCATCTTTTATATTTGAAATGCATTATAATGTCATGCAAAGTGCAAATGAATGTAAAGAAATGTGATTCATTTTTTAACAAGGTACCTGGTTCTACTTTAAGTTGCCAATTTACGCCATGCTCGTCAGCACGTTCAACTGTAGGCAATACATGAAGATCTTTCTCATCTTTGCCCTGTCTAACAATACTATGATCTTTCCAAGAATATATTTGAATCCTTGATCCTGAACTTCCTGCATCTATAACAATGCCAAATTTTCTATTTAAATACCAATGTGACATTGGTTTGTGATATAATTAAAATAAATGTATAATAAATGTATAAATGGTTATAAATTCTATTAATGTACAATTTAAAGAATGTCTATATTTTTAAATTTTAGAAAATTCTTTTTGGATTTTTTATTATTTTCATTGTTGGACAAAAAAATAGTCTATTAATATTAATATTAATATATACTGCTCTGAAAAAATTGCTATTGGCCAGAACTTGGGGGCTTTGCTTATATCACTGCCATATACGGTAGTTAAATCACATAGATTTATCTAATTATTTATGTGGTTTTTAGGGATCTCTCTGACCAAAATTGCAACTGGAGAGAAAATCAGACCATGTTTGCTTAGCACAATAATGAGATACAAAGACTTTGAAAATTTAATATAAATCGCTCGCATCAGGTGATAATAAATTGACTTTGCAAAATTATTACACTATTTACAATTACATTTCCACCTTATTTTTTTGGAACCAACAGCAATCAATAAAATCGAAGGTACCAATAATGCTTATCTAAGAAAAATTTCTTTGATTCAATCTAAACGAGAAAGCAAGGAGTCAAATAACTTTTTCGTATATAGAAGCAGTGTTCAAAAAGGATAAACTTCTTGTTAATAAAAGAACCAATCAAACAATTTAAGGTGTTTGTACATTATTATTTTGACCACCATGACCAATACTTTCTCCCTCCTCATCAACATCTAAATCTCTTATTTCATGATTTTCATTGTATCTTTTGAAGATTTTCTACTATATATCAATAGCTAATCTATATTGCAAGATCATCAACTTTGCCATCCTGTTCACTTAATACTATTATTACTATCAGAGGATGAAGATAAGGGAAGCGAAGTTGAATTAACAATCAGATATGCATGTAAATTAATTAGCTCTTTATCAATAAGCCTACTGATTTAACATATGCGCTAATTTTGTTTGAACCCCAAAATCCAGTACGGTATGATCATAACGTTATGAATACTTTACTAGCAAAAACCCATTGGTTTTGAGGTGGGGCCATTGGTTTGACGGGTTGATGAATAGTAAATTAGTTTTTTTAGCGGATCAAATAATTTTTTTTAGGGTAATTATCATTCTACCGACCAGTTTACACATTAAAAATACTCGTGTTTAACATCAAGACACAATAAGACATAAGGTTTAAAAAAGGCCCAGAAACCAAATCGGCTGATATGATTCGAATAGAAACCCTACTTGAGAAATTTTATTGATCCCAAACCGGGCATTACATTTCGCAATAATATTCAAATTTCAGACATAAAAGAAGAAAACAATATTAGAAAATAATAGTAATTAAAAGAATAAAATGGCATTATTATTAGATTTGAGAGACAAAGAAACTTAATGATATCATTGAAATAGTATGTCCGCAATTTCCTTACAAAGTGTGTGATACACCTTTTTCAACAATCATATAGATTCCAATCATCCAGAAACCTATCACCCAGTTCTAATCATTTGTCCTAGCTGTAAAGAGGTTAATAATAATAGGTATTCATTTAGTAGACGTTCATAATATGAAATGTATACAGGATGAAATAGACATGTTACACGCAATAGTGTGCAAAACAAAAGACAATAACGTTCACGAAATAAAGAAGAACAACGTAATAATCAGACGAGCAATCAAAGACAGAATTCCAAATATCAATGCAACAGGATTTAGCAATAACAAGAATATTTATAATCATATCAATAACCTTAATACAATCAATAATTTTGGTCCTTTTTTTAGTCCCATCAAATTTAATGGTATTGGCGAACCAGTTACCATACAATTTACTTCAACAACAGGACAAGTTATTCCAAGATCCTTCATTAAATGCAAGATTTGCGAATTGCGAGTCTTATATGGCATTTTCACTTCATAAAAGACAAACACATTATTTGGTCAATTGATTCATCAAATTATTTTTCATAAATATAAATTTTTTTTTTTCATTTCCAAATTATTAAAATAAAACGTGTTGTATTTAGGGGTTAAATAAATTTTTGTAATTATTATTATAATTCCCATTTTACGCGTGGTTCTCACCAATTTACGCGTTATGAGCAGTTCAAAGAGTTTTTACAAGCATTTCAATAGAAATACTCGTTTTTTTTCAACAACACCTACAAAATTAACTTTTAGTAATAATGATTTTTCTAATTTACCCCCTTCATATCAACTTACTAGTTTAGATGACGATTTGTCCAATTATCCTTCGCTTGTCGTTGATAAAGATTTTGATTTGGAAGATGAGGTTAGCGATAATGGTGTGGTGGTTAATCAAGAAGAAAAGGAAAATTATTCACCTTCCTCAATATTCGGCGAAGATTTAATTTCTTCTACAAGCAAAAAATTAAAAAGACGTCATGATAATATTAATGACGGTCATGATGGAACTAAATCAACTTTTAATTTTCTACAAGTGTCCAATGTTTTGGATTATTATCCTATATCCAAAGCACACCCTAATGCAGCTTTTGAAATACTTGAATACGAGGCGGATGAAATGGCTGATATCATGAAAAAATATGAGCCAACTAATTATAAATCTAAAAGTTATAATTATAGTAATAATAGAAGCAATAATATTAATAAAAATGATAGTACCAGTACAGGTAATAATAATAGTAGTAATGATAATAATATTATTACTAGTACTAGTCATGATAATAATATTAGTAGTAGTAGTAATAACAACAACAACAACAATAATAATCCAACAAATGGCTCGTTTGAACAAGTCCAATCTAAAAATACATGGTGGAATCCAGAAGGACGATCTAACTTTGTTTTTGTTCGAAAAGTGTTTAACATGGATGACAGAGTTCAATATAACAACACGATATATGACGATGATTCAAGTGATGATAATCTTACATTGACACCAGATTCGGTACCTGATGATGAAAACAACACCTTTAGAAATGTTGCTTGGCCATTCCCATCTACCACTACTACCACAACAACTCCTTCTACAAATCATTTCAATGATAATATATTCACTATTGAACAACAAAAGACAATAAAAATTCCTTTTACAATATGGGAAGATCCTGAAGAAGATAATGAATAATAATATATTCGTTTTTTTTTATATTATTAAATGAATATTAAAAATAATCCAGCAAATTTGTATGTTATTATCCACATATCATTAAATAAGTATAAAAATTGCCTTGTATTTCTTAACAATGAGTTGTTACTTCATCGATCTCACAACATTGTCAATATTGTCATTATTATTGTCGCTGTTACTATTATCACTGTGATTGTTCATCAACACAATTGCTGTGCCTATCACAATTAAACTTGCTCCAAGCCACCATTGTAAATTAAGCAATTCACCAAATATTAAATACCCCAAAATTGCCTAAAAGGGATTAAAATTAAAAATAATCAATGGACAAAACCAGCTAAACAATTAATCTAATTACTCCATTAACTGATTAACTAACTAACTAACCGTCATACAAAAATTAGTTGTACTATTCAACACAGTGACTTGAAGAGATGATGATGATTTGATTAAAGCTTTAGTAAAAAATGCCCACATCAATGCATTGCATAGAAATATCAGACCAAAGAAAATGACTGGGAATATATAATTTCTTTTCTTTTTTAATAAAAAAAAAGTATAATGGAGTTAAAGAAAAAATTTTTAATATAAATAAATATACACATACACACATATAAAATCCCTTACAAAGCGAGATGATGAATTTGTATCAATGTTATCATCATCGTCATCATCTCCATTATCATCGCTTAAGAGCATTGTACAATCCCATAATAAAAAGTCTATTAAAACATTTTTAAAATGAACATAATAATTATTATAATATTTGTTATTCATTATATTGCTACATAAAATTTTCAAAGTCTTGGTATCAGTAGAAAGTTTGCCAAAAACTGATGCTAATGCTGCAAACGTTCCTGATAAAAATGAGTAAATAATAAATTTGGATATCATCGCAGAAGAGGCTCTTGAAGTTTGATCAAGTTCATTATTATTAGCATCATCTCCACTATCATCTTTATCAATATTATTGTAATTTTTATTATTGTTGTTATTGACTATATTCTTATCTAAACTTTCTTGAGTTGACATTTTTATTAATATTAATATTGATAAATTTTTTTATCTTGTGTTACATGAAAATAACATTCGTGTTCGTGTATATATTACCAAAAATTACCAAAATAAGCAAGAAAACAATAAGTAAATCAGAAAAAAAGTTTGAACACTCACGTATTAGTATATATTAATATCGTTCATAGTAAATTTATAATTCGAACTTTTTTATTTTATTTTTTTTTTTATTAAAAAGTTATTTAATATATTGAATGATGTCTCAACCTCGAATTTCAAATGGTAAGGATTTTTATAATTTTGCACATTTGGAATGTATCTCAAAAAAGTTATGTTAATTGAAAAAGTTACATATAAAACCTAAATAACTTGTCTAGAACAAAATCCTTCTCGTCGTAGTGACTTCAAAGGATTGATGGAAAACTTGGAAGAGAATTATAACAAGTTGAATCTGGAAAATCAAAAATTAAACAAAAAAATTTCTAGCTTAGATAAAGAAATAGTCCAGTACAAAGAGAAAATCGGAACTTTGGAGACAGAAAACTTTACATATAAAAATGAGTTGATCAGATACCAACATGAAATCGAGCCAAAGTACAATGAAAAAATTAAAAATATGGAAATACAATATAACAACAATATGGCTAAATACAAACAGGAAGTTGAGGCATTTTACAATAATATAATTGCAGGTTTGAAGGCAGAAGCAGACAATTCCAACAGAGTTTTGATTGAAGCTATAGAGAGATTAAACAGAAGATTAGAAAATCCAAATTTATTTAATCAGCCTATTTTAGGTGATGGTCTGTCGAATAATTGTTCAAGTGAGGAGGACACAGTTCAACTTTCAATTGATATAAATTCTTTACAGTGTAAAATTAAGGACTATGTTACTACTTTAAAAGGTGATATAAAAATTGATAATGATAAAATTCAAGGATTATATGGAAAATATAATTTAAATACTCAAAATCTAACAGATAAAATTTTGATGAAAGCAGTTTTACAACGTTATGTTTTAGAAAATGGTTTTAAATTTGTAAATGACTATCTTGAAATTAAAGATGATGATGATCCCAATAGTCCTAATAATCAAGAAAAATATATTATATATTATACAAATAAATTAATAGATTTACTTGATAAATTTTATAATAGTCGTTTTAAGCAAAATAATAATATGGTTGATGATATTTCAACAAAAATACGTCAACAAGTTTATGGTATATTGGGTGAATTTGGATTTTCAGAGATTTATGAAAATGAAAATAAAAATGTACATCCATTCATATCATCCACAGCACTAGAACTCAATCAATTGATGGCAGGATATCGTTATATCAAAGATGATGATAAAAGAAAAACTGCAGAAAATATAGCAGAAAATCTTATCAAAGATATTGTTAGAATATTTAAATTTCGTTTGTTAATTCAAGAACCAAAATGTGAAGTACACTGGTTAAAAAATAATGCAAAAATAGTTATGAACCATCAATGGGATGGTGATTATCCAAATGATTATATCATGGGTATTTGTTATTTTCCCTTAACTGGGATAGAATCAGATGAAGTTTATGTTCAACCAAACAGTTATCCACCACCACTTCCTCCAAAACCTTTAATTGGAAACTCACCAAGAAATTCAATTGAGAAACCATCACCTGTACCACAAATTCCAAGTTCCGATGACAAAAAAATAGTTGATTTTACCAGAGGAGCCCGACCTTGTTTTACAAAAAAGAAGGGGAAAGGGAAAGGGAAAGATAGAGAACAATGACCTATATAATTTTTAAGAATTTCTATTATCTTTTAATAAATCATCAGGAATTAATTAATAGTATTTATTCATTTTTTAATAATTTAAAAAATAAAGTTTGTATTAAAAAAATTTTTTTGAAATAAAATGTCACACGGGACAACGATTAAAATTGCAGAATTTCGAATCAGTAACTTTAGAGGCGTGGAATGTTAAATCTAGGCGCCCATTTTTCCGGTAACTTTATGATTACTATTGAATATTTTTTTGGTAGGCTTGTAAAGCAGTTAAAAATACATATAATACATTTAATAAAGCTCTCGCCAAGTTTTCTTCATATAAAAAAAACAAAAATCTTTTTTTAATTTTTTCAATAAAACATTGCATGATTTACCAATAACATTTGTTTAGATTTTACATATAAAATATCATGTTATTTCTGCAGCGGTTCTAGATCATCGGAATCTTACTATTTATTTTATTTTAGGAACTTGCGAATTTTTATTAATCATGGGTTGTACAATTTATTTTAATTCATTTTATATGTAACATGGATCCGCTATGAGACTAGTAGCCATATAGGCTTCCATCAAAAATCTGGAACAAATTTATTAATAAAATCCGTTATGTCATTGTAACAAGAAATTCTCTGCGGCGAGATCCGTTGTGATGATGTTTGACTGTAAATCATATGTAGGAAAAACTTCCTAATGTTGGAGAGAATTTTAAGAGAGAAAACTGACTTTAACACAGCTTGCTTGGGAGAATATGCAAATGATAATATACATGATCCAAGTAAATGCCATAGAAGATAGTAATAGTAAATTGAGGACCAACTTGGATCCCAATTGTTGCCAATTAATTCAATTTATATCATGACATCATCAATTATGCATTTGGCATGTAATATTAGTAATTAATATAAGTCATTCATTATTAATCATTCTATTTATTATATTTTATTGGACAAAATCATGTAAAAAGTCTTGTTGTTTGTAATACTTTAAGAAGTATAAATACACTTAAATTTCCTTCAATTTTTAATAATATCCATTTGATAATAAAAACTGTAATTGATTAATGAAGCTGCGGGTTAATTCATAATCCTTTCTGATGATTGATGGTTTGGCCAACCTTTAGGAACCCTTTTAATTTCACTACATTGCTTGTAGTGATGCCTCAAGTGGTGTATTTCTATTTTTTTTTTTAGAGCATATGAAGCTGGAAAGAAAACTGAGAGACACTTGGCCAGAATTCACCTGCAATAATATTACATGTGCAGCTGGAAAGAAAACCTTGTGCATGACCAGAACTAGGGTTACTATTTGAATAAAATGAATAATTCGAAAAAAACAAATAACTCAAATAAAATAAATAATTTGAATTAAGATCGAGTTGTGTGTATTATGAATAATTCAAATAAGAATTTGCATTATGAATTTACAAATAGAAACTAGCAGAAACAAGGTGAACTTTGAATTTTATTTATTGAGATATTATTACAATATTCAAATTAAATGTTAGTATCCTACTAACAAAGTCCTTTGGTAACAAGCATTTAATAGAAAAAAATGACCTTAGCTTTGCATAAAGTAGTAATATGCACTCCACTGATCATTACTAATTATTTTTGTTGATACAACAAAAAATTGAACAAGATACTCGGGAAATAGAATTTTCCACAATGATAAAAATTCAATTACAAATACAACTTGAGAAAACAATAATGCTTCAATATAACAATGATAAACAATTATTTAATAAAAAATAAAAATTAGATTCTTATAAATTAATCTAAATAGTTTTTTTTTAACATAGTTAGTGATTCTGATATTGAAAGCAAGTTCTATAAAAAAAAGGATTGGTGATGTGAGCCACATTAATGTCAACATGCCAATACCAAAAAGAAAAAGATAGGGGCGTTATATGTGTTGAATTATTATTGTGAACCCAGGGGAAGGTATTGCTGATGAAGGCAATGGCATTTATTTTCTGTAGCTAGTCTTGTATCTTTCAAGAATGAGTGTATGGTCTTTCCACCAATGTTCTGGGTGGCAACATCAGTAAGGGCTATCAATAAGTATTTTTTTAGACTAATGATTTGTCTTGTCATGAAGGACTTCCAAAATTCATCAAAAGAAGTAGGGATATCTCCCCTTTCATCTGATGATTTTCCCAAATGTTGTACAGGGTGTTGTAAATACCATATGACTCATTCTGAAGTGATTGTATCAAGTAGAGGGTAATGTAATGCCAGCTGACGAAACATGATATCAGATAAATTTTGATTCTCAAGATCAGGTAAAAGCAACCTTAAGATTGCTGCATATGCCTCTGAAATGGCATTTTTTAGGTATCTATTTCTAAGTGAATTTATTGCTTTGTTATATCTTGGGGCGATCTTTCTCATCAGTATGTGGTAAAACATCTTATATAGCAAGTCTTGTTCTGACCTTGCTGCAACCTTCATTATGAAGCGTTAAAGAAAAAGGGCTCACTATGTATCTAGCAAAACATAAATAATAGGTGTCATTAAGGTTGCTTGCCAAAACTCATCCAGAAATCAATCAGCAGGGTTTTGGCAGGTTACACATTAATTGTTTATTAGAGTTTCAGCAGAGTTTCACATTTTGAGGTTTCGCCATTTCGGTGATGTTGCCATTTCATGCAAGTGGGTCCATTTGTCTTTGGCCATCATCAAGGTGTAAAAGATCTGAGGAAGGCCTTATACACTTAATTCTTTTTAAAAAGGGGACAAATTCGAAGACAAGGTTGTGGTTTTTGATGGATGTTTCTCACAGCCTGCATTTTTGGTGCTCAGTACCTGATTCTAATTTTGAAAATTTCTTCTTTTCTCAAGCATAAGTATTATTGTGACCAGCACCAATGCAAGCAGAACTTAGTTATTTATTGAAGGTGGTATTTTTTAATGTACTCATAGTGTCCCTTTCCATTGGGGGAAACATCAAAGATTCCAGGCCAGGGTTTCCAAATAAGACTGAGAGTTTGGCATTGTTTGATTCAAGAAAACCCACAATCAATCTACTATAGTTTGTGTCTGTTATGTATTTATAGAGGAAAGAATCATTTGGGACAACTACATCCGGAAAATATAAAAAAATTTTACACGTGTCAATTGTAAGTTTAATAATAAAAAAGTGTAAAACTTACGTCGGCACTGTAAGATTTACACAATATTACGTCGGCATCGTAAGATTTATGCAAGTTTACGCTAAATTAATTTCCTGATGTAGGTGGTGCGTGATATCCATCATCATTATCATCATCAAGAAAGGTTTTTAAATTTAAATTATTCTTATTATCAATGGCATCCATTGTAGCAATAATAACAGATCGTGCATATAAGATCTCTTTCAACACCAGTGCAAGAGGTTTTGAATTTGTCAACTGGCCAGAAACTTCTTGAATGTTATTACGATTAACCTGAGTGATATATCCAAAAGGATGATCTACAGTTAAAACTTGTAATCTATTTGCACCATGAAGTATTCCTATTACTTTCAATTTTTTTACTAGTTCTTCTTTCATTTTGCATTCAGTAATCAATTTGTCAAGCATATCCTTTAACATCTTTGATATTTTAAGTGAATCAGTCATATATTTCGTACCATTTATCTTTCCTGCAGGCTTCAATTGCACCAAATTCTAAACGATTTATACACAACCTAAATATGCTGTCTCCTTTTCTGTCAAATTTTTTACGATTATTAATTTTTCTATAAATATTCTTCCTTCCACTAGAAGCAAGGCTCATCCCTTCACCCAGTGTTGTGACAAGAAACTCTTTTGGCTTCCCGAAATGTTTCGGAAGATGAACTTACACTAAGCAGAAAACTAAAACTAAAACTAAAACTAAGCATAAACTACTAACCTAAACTAGTTTCGGGTGGTTTCTGTTAGTTTCTGTTTCTGGTTTTCCCTAAACTCAGAGTTTCGGGCCACAACACTGCCTTCACCGTGAATTAAGTCAATATTTAAATCATCAAATATCGAATCTATAATTCGGCTCCAGACATTCATTTCGAACCACCCTTCTAGCTTTAAAGAATCTTCATCCATTTCCCATAAACGCAAAATTCCACGATACCCATTGTTAATAGAATCAAGACAGAAATGAATGCTTCGATTGTATTCTTCACCATCAGATATAAGTGGCTCAAAGAGAAGTGATTGCAATTTTTTAATATCATTTACAGTATATTTTATTAATAACTTTTTGTGACGAGGGTCAAGTTTTGGTCTTTCTACTGATTCAAAATTTTTGATTTCTTTCCATTCATCTGGTGTAAATAAATTTTTTGTATCAACATCTGCATCATTTATTATGAAAGAATGAAGATATGATTCCCTATTCAGGTTTTTAGCAAAATCGTAAATAACTTTTTCAACTTTTCGGCCAGTTTTCAGTGTTCACATATGATTAGGTTCCATTAATAAATAGGCTTCTTTAAATTTTTTTAAACTTTCCTCAACAGATGACATATTTAACTTATCATCAGTATATTCGTCATCAGTAAATTCGTCATCAGTAGATTCATCATCAATGGATTGGTCATCAGTGTAATCATCATTAAAAAAGGCTTCAATATCTTCACACTCCACATCAAGGATTGGATCATTTTCAGATTCAGTTTGGTCACTTGATTTCATCTAGATCATGACAAAACGTCAATAAGTTATTAGTTGCCTTGAAGAAATTATTATAAAGAACCACTTGGTCTCACCTTTTTGGTTGGACGGATTGTGGATGTTTTTTCTTTAATGTTTGGTTGTTTATTATTATTGGAACTTTCCTGAAAAATAATTATTGATCTCAATATTCAAATTCTACAATAAATACAATGTCAATTAGTAAAAGAGGCAAAGTGAGCTTACATTTTTCCTTTCAGATAAACCAGAAAGTTCACGATAATTTGGGATTATCCTTCCATTTTTGGTTCTGCATTTGATATTTTGAGCTCCATAGTCATTCTAAGGATTAAAACTATAGTTCATTAGAAACAAATCACAAAATAACAAGTCATTAGCCAAAAAATATGCACCTGCATCTTTTCCATCATCAATTTTCTTTTGTTTCCAATTATACTAGCGTGCAAGTCTAATTCCTTTCCTTGGCCGAGAATATAATTTAACTAATAAAAAGGTATTAATCATAACTTATATAACATAAAATACCACAACAATCAAAAACTTACATCTTCAGTTTCGATGCGTAAAGTTTTTAATTCATTTTGTGCTTTGATATACTGGAGATCTTGCTGTAAATTCTGGGTTCTATAATCATTCCAGAACTTTATAACTTCCGGAGAATGCTTAATCTTCTAGAAAAGCTCATCAATTTTAAGAATTAATGAGTAATGATTATAAAAACTGTACAATGTAAAATATATTCCTGTACAATAAATAATATATGTCAGGCTCATGACAAACTGCAACGAGCTCAGAGACTCAACACCTGGTCGACTCAGAGATCACCTGGTGTGTTGCAGCAATAGACTCAGAGATCCTACCAAAAGTCCCAATCAACTCAGAGATTAATTGTGCACATTATTGCAGAACTCAGAGATTCGTACAAAACAATATGAGCAGGAATCTTGGCTTGTCAACAGAGCTGAAACATAAAAAAAAAATGCATACTTTCCAGTTATCAATCAACTCCTGTGCTCTTTTTGCCTTTGCATTGTTTCGTCAGTTGCAAGTTTCTGGATAAAAGATTTGAAAGCACTATGTTCTTTTTTTTGCTTTCCAAAAACTTTGCTATTTTGTATCTCCATGTTAAAAAACCAACAAGTGACCACTTAAACGACTCTGTATTTTGAAAGTATTGAAAGTAATTGAGTTTTGAATTATTTCATATAGATTATTCTGATTGTGGACAAAATGACGCGATAGGGTAAATCAGTAAAAAAAAAACCAGTCACCTGACTTAAGCCACACAAGTCCTTGGGACACAGCAAGTAATAGTCGCGGGACATTGCAGATAAAGTGTCATTCAATATAAACGTTACATGGATAAAATTATTATCGTCCACTTCAAAAAAAAACAAGTTAATTAATTTCGACTAAGAAAACTAAATAAATAAAATAGTAATATTTTATTTATCTTCTTTACCCAAAATTATTCACTAATAACAAAATCAATTCATTGATCCCTATTCATTCTGATCCACGCAAAAACAAAAATATTTGTTATCACCAATTAAAATACGCTCTCCCAAATTTAATCGGTGACAGTATCAAGACGGGACTTCTGTGAAAAATCTCAACACTTATATTGGGTATAACTGGTGATATTGTTTTAATATAACATATGGATGGGTACTCCTTAAATTATTGCATATTATTATACAAATTTTTATTTATGTTATTTTTTTTTTATATTATTTGTATTTCTTATCCATAGCATAATATTATTATATATATTATTCAGGCACACAATATTTTATTAGTGGAGCTAGTAAGGCTAAAATACGTATAAAAATACACACATACATTATTACCTTCTAACACTGGTACTACCAGTATCTTCTTGGAAAGATCTGATTTATCACTATTGAATGCCAATTGTAATTGTAACCCTCCTACTGTTAGTTGTTGTGGATGTCTCAGGTTTTCAATGACATTGTCAATATTGACCCTAATGAAAATGAAAATGATGAATATGAAGTTGAAAGTATTCTAGACATGAAAACAAAACATAAAAAGAAATTTTAT